AGGTCGACACCTCAGGGAAAGAGATTGGCTCAAAGGGTGATTGGCAAAAGAAAATAAAACATTGAATTTTGATAGTTGGTTTGAAAGAAATATTAACTCCAAATTAACAGTTAAAGAAAATGAACTAGTTAATCGGTAGAGTTCATCTCACCGTGAATAAGTATTTTGACTCAAAATCTATAACTCATTTAAGATTGCTGCAGTGATTTCAAGAATTACCCGTACCAAGTCTTAGGTGTCTATGAGTAAGCAAAAAAAATATACATATAGATAGTGTTTTCTACTTTAATCAATTAATTAAACCAAAGTTTTTAGTCGGCCACGTCGTATTAAGACGAATGGTGTTCTCAATCCAATTTTTTTTACTTATCTAATGAGTACATGATAATTTTGTTATACAACAAATCACTTTTAATGGAGATGTCTGTTCCTTCACCCAATATTGCAACTAGAACTTCTCCAACCGATTTTAGTCATAGACTTTTTAGAGTTGGATGAGTCACCATAAAATGAATCTAATGATTTGTACTAGGATCATTTCTAATTTCACTTGGATTTTTTCTTTTAGAGTTTTCTGTAAGGAATTGTGTAGAAATTATCTGTGCCAGAGCAAATCAAATAGTGCCTGATCAATTGCCTTCTCCATTGCAAGAAAACATATTTCTTGTGGTAAGTTTTTGCTCTATATCTTCTATAGAAATTATCTTAACTGTCTGCTATCGCAAATGTTTGACAATTGTTGATGAGCTTAGATCCATTTGGGTCCAGGTCCAATTCGTAGGTAAGCCCAAATTAGTTAAAGGGAAGGTCAAGCCTAGCTTATGGATTTGGCACAGTCCAAAGTTCTGGAAACCTAGGAGGATCAACGCACGTGGGGAGTAATTACTGGGATAACCACTACTCGAAGATCAAGATTATCTTTGATTGTACTTATCCTAAGTTGTAGCTATCCTCTCTGAAGGACTAGTAAATTCTCCAACTAATGCTCGCATCAGGAGTCGTCGCCCCCCAACTAATTCTCCAATTAGGGAGGTACCACAACCTTTCTTCTCAGGGCACCAAGGCGCCCCCCTAGTGCAATGCCCCCATGTAACGCCTGGGCGCCCCTTGTCAAGGAGTCCCCCCTCAGTGCCCACATGCTCATCTTCCTTATTTACCTGCTTCACCCTCACACATTGCTGACCATCTTAGGTAGGAGGATGAGGGGGAGAACAAGTATGCAAATCATGAGAATTACTATAATGATCCAATAGAGAGTGTCCCTAACTATGGGACGAGAAGATTAAGGAGGTATAAAACTAGTTTGGCAATGCCCTCATCTCCATCAAGGTTTAAGCACTAGAAATTGTGGACTACATGGTAAGACGCACTGACACTTTGTTTGTGGCGGATGTTGTTAGCTACACCTTACCTTCAAAATTTCAGATGTCTGCCATTGAGATCTTTGATGGCACTAAGGACCCTTCGATCATCTCGACATATACAATTCTCTCATGTAACTCCACAATGTGCCTGACAAAATCATGTGTAGAGTCTTCCCTACTATCATTAAGGGATCTTCACGATAGTGGTTCGCCAAGCTCAAACCTTCTTTCATCCACTCCTTTGCAGAGTTAAGCAAATATTTCATCTCTCACTTTATTGGAGGATGCCTACACCAGAAGTCAGTTATCCACTTGCTCTCCATCAAGCAGGATGTGGATGAAAGCTCAAAGAGCTACCTCACTCATTTTAACAAGGAGGCACTATAGATCGAGGAGCCAGACGAGAAGGTAACCATGGTTGCATTGATTGTAGGTCTGCACTCATCAAGTTTTATGTTTTCTGTCCTAAAATATCTACCATCCAGCATGCCCAAGTTGTTATCAAGGGCACAAAAGTACATGAATGCTGAGAATGTCACCAAAGCTAGGCGAGGTGAGTCCTCCCATGGGGAAAAGGAAAGAAAAGATACCCGCATACACAGGAGAGAAACAGAGAACGAGAGGAATAAGACAAAGAGAGTCTCTGTCAAGGACCACGTTGGTCCCCTACCTCTCAGAGAACGGCAAGCCCTTATGTTGCTCAATGCTTCGATGGAGTATATCATATTCCAAATACAAGATGATCCTACAATACACTTGGCCAGGGAAGATGAAGACCACTCTGAACCATAAGAATTCGAACAAATACTATTGCTTCCATCGCGACCATGGCCATAAAACCGATGACTACTTTGATCTTAAAAGGAAGATCAAGAAGCTCATACAGCGTGGTCAAATGTGGCAGTATGTTGCTGATAGAGAATAAGCCCTGCCGCCTAACAAAAACTAGGATGACAGAGAGCACCAACAGCCCCTCGAATAGATCCAGATGATCTCCGAAGGTTTAGGAGGATGAGGTGACTCCCACTTCACCAGGAAGGCGCATGGAAAGAGAGCTAGACAAACAGAGTCAAATGATCCTCGCCCCATGAAGAAGACCTGACATGGGAAAAAAAAATTCATCTCATTCTTAGACAGGGACCTCAAGGGCATACAAATCGCCCATGATGACCCTCTGGTCTTAACCATGATGGTAACCAATTATCAATTTTAGCAAATTTTGGTGGACAATGATAGCTCTGCCAACATTTTGTTCGTACCAGCCTATGATAGCCTTCATCTAGGCAAGGAAAAACTGTAGCCCATTAGAAAGCCCCTCATCAGATTTTTGGGTGAGAGGGCTTATCTTTGGATTCCATCACCCTACTAGTCACATTAGGGATAGCACCAAAAAACTACACCATCATGGTAAATTTCATAGTGCTAGACTGCCCCTCTACCTACAACATCATCCTTGGACGCCCCGCACTTAACACCTTAAGGGTAGTGCCGCCCACCTATCACCTTGTTCTCCATTTCCCAACCCTTTGTGGGATTAGAGAAATTAGAGGAGACCAAGTCGCTGTTAGAGAATGCTATATCACCTTTATGACGGCCAAGAGACCTCAAGAGACCCTCTATGTGGAACTGTTCAACCCTAGGGATCACAGCACTTTGGAAACGGGAAAGTCTTGGCCCATCCATGGGATCCATGGGACGCCGAACTTCCTGAAGAAGTATTATCAAGTCAGTGTGGGTTAGTGACTCTCATTTAAATTATCTTTTGTTGTTTCAGTCAATTCTTTTTGTTATCTATTTTTTTTATGAAATAAAACTTTGCAAGGATTATTGTGTCCAGAACTATCTTTCTTTCTTTCTATAAAGTTTGTGAACAATTTATAAAAGTCAGAACATGACATAACAACAAGGTAGATGAAAAGATAAAAATCGACATACTCCTGATTGTCACTCACCGCTCCCCGATCCACTCTTATCAAGGCTCTCCCATCACCGTCTGTCCCTAGGGTTTCATATGAGACAAAGACAAAAAAATCAATAGCAGAGAAAGCTTTTGAGGGCTTTCCCCTAAACTCTTCATAACCATCAATAAAAATGCCTACAATGGCTCTCTCAGCAGCCTCCCTCCTCTTATCCATCTCAATGGAATAGGTTTTTGCCATGGTGGCTCTCTCATGAGCTACTCGTACGTTAGCCTTTGCCATGATAACCCTCTCCCAAGGTATACGTAGCTCAACCTCAGCACTTGCAACCATTTCTTGGAATGCTCGCAACTTTGACTCTGTTATCGCACAAATCGTCTCCATATTAGCCTTCAGCTTTGCGGCCCTCTCGTGAGATGCCAAAAGCTCTACCTCAAGAGGTGCGACTCTCTTATGAGCTAGTCTCAATTGCTCCTTAGCAGCCTCTTGATTTTGCCTCTCTTTTGCCAGATCTTTGGTTGTTGCTCCAAGCCTGATCATCCTTGAAAAATGGTAGGAAAAAGTAGCAGCCATTTACAAGCATTCAAAAATCAAAACATGAAGGAATGGAGGCGGGTAAAAAATCAAGATTAAGTAGAAAGGTATACCATGGTAAATCCCTCTATTGCGATATTGATAATGCCCTCTAAACCTCGAGAACCAACCTCTCTGATATCCCCAGGAGTCACAAACCTCAAAAGTCTCTCCTTGGCCAAATTCAAGTCTTGTAGCACGGACATAGAGCCACTACTAGAAATAGGGTAGCTAAATGGAGCTCTAGTCCCTGTAGAAGACCACACTAGAGTCTCAACGCCTACAGCGGTACTAAGGCTAGCTTTGGAATGCCAAGGAGTCGCAGTCTGGGAGGGAATGGGGGCACCATCAGGTCCCATCTCCTAGGAAGTAACCTGGCCATCAGACCTTGGCCGAGAAGTGTTGGGGCCATCAGAATTCACCCTCTTAGAAGGAGGGGAAGATGTCACCCTAGAAGCATAAAAAGTCTTTACCGTCGCTCTATCAACGGTAGTACCTATGAAATTGGGATAAGAAAAAGAATCTATAGTATTGAAATTATCAAACTTATTGGAAGGATCAAATATATTTTCTCTTCTACCTAGGGAAGGTTGTGGGATGACCCACCACACCACAAGAAAGTCCCGCCACCACCAACAAACCACATCCTTGAATCCAAACAACTATTGGAGGTCATGCAACAACTGGTTAACAAGAACCAACAAATCCTCATTCTGAGGAATTCATCAAAGCAAGGCGAGTTGAGTCCTCACATAGTCAAGAATACAAAGAGTAGACACGTGCAAAAATCTACTTTTTTCACTAATTTGTGGTTAAAGTTCAAATTTAGAGAGAGAAAAAATTTTGTGGAAAAATTTGGTGCCCAAACCACCATAGACTATTAGATTGTCGTAGAAAAAATACCCAGATTTAAAAAAAAATCACCTCAAATAGACAATCAAGTGCAAAGTTATGACCGTTTAAAGTTTCACCATTTTTTCATGATTTTCTAATACTCCATCAAGCATCGTTGCCCACAATACCAAAACGTCACCGCCTGGCGTCATCTAGCCTAAGGCTAGTGCCCGGCTGGCGTTGCCATTTGTACCCTGCGTTGCCCAGACCAACCATGGTGTCCCCCTGCGTCGCCCAAACCAACCTTGTGTCACCTGGCGTCATCTAGCACCTCAGCACCAGCAGCGATAGCGCTTGGACCAATGCCCCTACACTTGTGCTAGCCCTTGGCGTCACATGATGCCCCACTAATGTCGGCTCCTACTCCAAGGACTTCAGTCACATCCATGGTGCCCGCATCCTTGGTAGTAGCTTGGCGTCCCCTTTGACATCACTTTGCGCCTAGCTTGGCATCACTTTGCGCCTACGTGGCGTGGCTAACCTACCTCGCATGGCGGCCAACTGCCTCGTCCAGCACACTTGGCCTCCTCCCAGCTTTGCTCGAGCTGTACCTAGCGTCACCTAGCACACAAGCGCCACCCAACGCCTCGCTAGCGTCACCCAGTGGCTGGGTCCACACAATGGTGGCACCTGTTATTGTCGCCCCATACTTACTGCCAACCATCCAGGGCAAGGCATCACCTAGCATGTTGGCTTCGCCTAGCGCCAAGGTCGAAGTGCTGGTGCCCATGCCTCTTCCACTTTGGGCACCTCCTAAGAGCCTTGCGCAGCACTAAATGGTGCCGCCCATGCCTCCTTCGTCATTGGCACCACCCAAGAGCCCTACACAGCGTTGATTGGCGTCACCGACTGCCATGACATCACACTGGGGCTCACGTCACCCAATGTTGCCACAACCCCTCTAATGCAGTCGCCCAATGCGTTGTCTCCCCTGATAAGGTTTGAAATCAATTAGGGAGGTGCCAAGATGTTTCCTGCGCCAGATTTTGTTGATGTCATTGATCCCCCTATGGCATTGGAGTTCTAGTGAACACCTTCGGTCACCTCTGTGATCTGTGGGAATGAGGGATTGTTTAGCCCTAATCCAAGGGAATGGCGAAGGAATTGGAGAATGAATGGTTGTTTCTAGGTCTATGTACAAATTGACCTCATGAAGTCCCAAGAAATGTGCCCTAAATGAAGGAAAAGAGATTTTAGTATGAAAGGGTGAAACCTCCTTTGAACAACACAGTAGGTCATCAGGAGCAAGGAATGAAATAGGAAAGATAAAGAACTAAGCTCTAGAGGTATAAAGAGATGGAAGGCTAAAGAAGCTGTGGTGAGAAACAAGTTACCTGGTCTACCTAAATGAAGAAGCTTACTCATGCCGTCAATCTCTTGTCATCGCAAGGGCTTGGGGCATGGGGGCAAATGATGAGCTCAGACGCAGTTGGGTTCAAGTCCAATTCGTGGGTAAGCCCAAATCAGTTAAAAAACAGTTCAAGCCTAGTTCATGGATTCGGCCTAGTCCAAAGTTCAGGAAACCTAGGAGGATCAACGCAGGTGGGGAGTAATTATCAGGATAACCACCACTCAAAGATCAAGACTATCTTTAATTTTACCTATCTTTATCTGTAGCTATCCTCCTCGAATGACTAGTAACATATCCCTTACGCCGCCACCTCAACTAGGCCTCTATACCTATATATTATAAGCCCTCTACACATGAGGGAGGGATAGCTATCTTTGACATAGACATCTCTACATATCTCACACAGCTACCTCTTCACGCCTAGAACTTACTCTTGCTCTCTCCCACCTACTACTTTATCAATAAAGTCCTACGGCCACCATTGATGCCTTCAAAGTGGAGTAGGTTACTTTGACCGAACCACTCTATATCTATGTTACGAGTGTTGATCTCATATTTATATTTACTGCACTTATTACCTATATTAATTACTCCACAGGTAATGCATAAATCTATTTTTGTGCATCATCAGTTGTTGTTCACTGGATTTTAGTACAGAAAAGGAGAACACATTAGCACAATAAAATCATATGCATTTTCTAGTAATCTTTCAAATGTGGTAAACAAAATTATTTTGGAGTCTAGCGTCAACATTTCTGGGAAAGTTATGATGAACTTGATGAAGATAGGGTAGAAAGCTTTTATGCCGAGACTCTTCAAAGTAATTCTTTCCAAGCGTTCTCTCGTGATTTGAAATGCTAGATTACCTCTAAAGACATCGCTTCTCTAATAAATCTTTCACCGTGGAAGCAAGTCTCATATAAATTATCTTATCTACTTGTGTTCTGCTATTTATTTTTTACGTAAATATCAATTTAATAAGACGCAATGCTGCTTATGGACATCATACCTATATTTTCTGCATATGCTATGATAATTAAGTGTTGAAATGGCCATTATAGAACTATTTCAATGTTGAATTATTGTATATTTTCTATCTGTCTTAGTAAATGGCTGATCAATGGCAGTTCAATCTCATTCCTCTTTGTTCAGGGTAGAAAAGGGCCATGGCTTTGCTCCATGCTCCCCGTCTGGAATTTTTGGAGGGATGGTTCTTCTGATCTGAACATTTGAGTACCATCATCATTAGCATCATCATCACCATGATTTGAGCTCGTGATACCCAGATTTAAAGCAAATTACGGAATGAGGTTCCTCAAGTTGGTAACTCATATCCTGATACACAATTGCAGTTGAATTTGTGCTGCTTGGACTGGGATGTGAAGAAGAATGGCTCATTGTGACATTTTTGTTGTCACCTTCTTCAAACAGTACTTTCTTGTGGTGATCAGCAAACCCATAAATTTGAGTCATATATGAATGTTAGATGATGGAGGTATTCTTGTTGATGTTTTCTGAATTTACGGAATATGCAAAGCTCCTGTGATCCTTAGAGATATCAAATCATCTAACATTCTTTTGGATTCCAACTACAATGCTAAGGTAAATTTTCTTGTGTCATTACAAGTGTCAAAACTCACACGCAAATATTGATCGAATAAGTTGTATGGGGGGGCATAGTCAGTCACATGCTAATTCTCTACTTGCTCATATTCAAGGCGCTAAATGTGGAATTTATGATGCAAATTGCATGGAACGTGTCTTTTTTGTGAGTCTAATTGCTATTTCCATTACCTTTATTGACATTATCTTTTCAAACATTTTAATCTTCCTTGGATTCCTTGTGTTCATTCTCTTCCCCCAACACAATCTTGGGACTAGGATTTCTATTTAGTGTATGGTCTACATGGATTTCTATTTAGTGTATGGCCTCAGGGATTTCTGTTTAGTGTATGGTCTCATGGAATTCTCTCTTCAACTTTCTCGGATATTGGTGATCTCCAAAGAATTCTTGATAAATGGCTCTCTCTAGAGAGCTTCTGGTGTCTGAACCTGCAAGGCCTAGTAGACGTACCAGTAGAACTGCTAATAAAAAGTCAAATGATTATTACATTTTTTGTTCATTTCTTTTCTTTTATGGTAATGAATTGTAAGCATGTACAATTGAATGATACATATTAGAATATTGTTTTCATGTTAATTGATTCAGAAATATAATTTTTATAGTAACAGGTGTTTAGTATATTAATGTTTTATCATTGCAAATGTTTTTTTTTTTTTTTTGTGAATAGGTGATATATGAATTGGAAAATATTCAATAAAAATATTTTTTTCCAAAAATTTAATAATTTTTTTTTTCATTTCAACATTTTAGCCGTGACAATAAGTTGTGGCTAAAAATATGCTCTAATATTTTAGTGGTGATTATGATTGTGCCTAAAGAGTGAATTTTTAGCCGAGACTAATTATTATAACTAAAAGTCAAGTTTTATCGTACTTTAAGTGGTGATATAGTACATTTTATTGACAAAATTATTTAAATTTGCTATAATAATTATTGTGGCTAAATATTTCAAATTTAGGGACATTTTTCATTTTGTAGCTAAAAATTTTACTTTTAGTGGCTGCTTTCAAAACGTCATTACTAAATGATTTAGCCACATCACATATAGTCCCAGCCTATGAAACACGGATATTTCGTCAAGGTCGACGTACTCGTATCCGATACCGTATCGAATTCGATACTCGTCGGATACTCAATGATACGTATCGGATACGCATCGTCCGTATCCAATAATTAATAAAATATGTGGATACTTCGCGGATACTTCTAAACATGGTGTAAGATGTACAATTTTTAATTTTAAGCTATAACCCTTATTTGGAGTTTACATACAATATAAAACATCAACAAAATTCTATCTGATTTTAAAAACACGAGTGTTTTTTAAGTATTATCTATTATTATATGTTAAGAGGGTATAAAAAAAAAGAATCACTTACACTATACTTTTAAAAATAAATACTTGTAAAACCAACTAGTTAAATGTTATTATAATTTCTTTAATTTGTCATGCTCATTTTATGAACAAATCATACTGAGATGATATTAGAACCTTTTCATGGTAAAAATTTCTAATTTTACTTACTAATGTTAAAGAATTATTAAAAAATTATAATTTCTAAGTCGTTAAATAATAATAAAATATAAAATATATTTTATTATGCACGTATCCTGACCGTACCCATATCTTATTTTTTTAAGTTTTGTCGTATCGCCGTATCCGTATCGTATCATACCCGTGTCACGTATTCGTATCTGTGCTTCCTAAGTCCCAGCCCATTGACAGTAAAAAAATTGTCACTAAACATATTTTGACAATTTTACATATTTAGCTGCAACAATTATGGTGGCTAAAAGTTCAATTTCTTTTAGTGTTGGACTTGTCTTGTGAATAGTCAGATACTTGGATGACCAAATGAAAAGGATTTTCCCATGTTAGAAAAAATTAATATAACAATATCAATAACACAAAATACATAGTTGGCTTGCTTTTTTGAAAATCTCATAGCACCGCTTTGAACATGTAGCGTAGCGATCTTTTTCACTCTCAATTGTTTTCATGTCAACTTTTTGACTACCCCTGGGGCGCTTGTTCTCCATAACAAAGAGTTTGTGCAAAAAAGTAAAAATAAAGATAGTAGATTTTCTTAGGATTACCTTTAGCATACATATGTGATACTTTTCTTGTTTTTCTTTGTATTTATAAGCTTTAATACATGAGAATTGTATGAAACACTATCATGGAATTACCATCTTGAGAGGTCTCATCCCATATTTGTATTTGCTTCCTAATAAATATTAGAAATATAGAATGTTTGCACTACTAGTGCCTTAAACTTCTGGGTACTTTTTCAACTTTGAACTATATTTATTCATAAGGTTGTACCTTTTCTCATAATTTTCAACAATAATTTTATTTAATCTATCTAAAATCTAGCTAAATTTTTGTCTACACTTTAATTGCAAAGTTTTCAAAGGCTTATATTAAAAACATAGAATTTTTAAAAATTGCAATTCATCTGTGCATTTTGATGTGTCCTTAGTATATTGAATGATCTCATTGTTACATATGTCCTATATAAAAAAATAAAAATTATTAATATCTTTCCGAAATTGAAAAAGCTTGCAAATAATAATGCTCTAACAATTCTTTATGACCAATTAACAAGGTTTAATCACACCAATTAGAAGATTGGTGGGCTCGATCTCAATTCATTAATCCAACTGTTCACATGCATTGACAAGAAATAGTTCCTAAGAAAAATTGGAAGGGTACCAATTATAAAAACTCAGATTGAAAAGTTATAGTGCAATT